CTGTGTTGTTTGAAGGTTTACCTGATCAGAGGGTGACGATGAATTTTCCACAGTACCTGAAATTTTGTTCATCAGGCCAGAGAATAATCCCCCTGATTCAGACTGGGCTGGATTTTGTGCGGATTTAACAGTTGGTTTCCCTGCCTGTGCAGGTTGAGTTGACTGTTGTTCCTGAGGTACATTTTCACCAGATGCAAGCTTCAAAATACCTGAAAGTAAGCCTCCACTTTGACCGGGCTGTTGAGTTGCTGTATGTTGAGGACTTGCTGTTTTGGCAGGCTGTTGCTGCTGTTGAGGTTGTGCCTGACCAAACAGACCAGACAAGAATCCTCCTTGCTGACTGGATTGAGATGACTGTTGACCTGCAGGTTGACCAGGTCCAGCAACGTTTGATTTATTTCCCTGTTGAGACCCAGTCTGTGGGGTGGGTTGTTGTGGTACGTTATCTGTAGGAGCTAATTTATTAAAAAGACCAGACAATAGCCCACCCTGCTGTGGCTCTGGTGCAGAGGCAGCGGGTTGTGGAGGTATCTGGTTTTGTCTCCGCAAAGGCTGTCGGTTACTTTGTTGGGGTTGCTGCTGGTTTGGATGACTAACCGGTGGCTGCTGCTGTGCTGGAGGGGTAGGACCTGCTGAAAATAGTCCAGAAAAGAAGCCTCCTTGTTGATTAGGAGGTTGCTGGGTCGTCCTAGGCCCTGCTCTTTGTGCCTGTTGCCCTGGTTGACTCCCTGCTGTAGACTGTGGGTTGCCTGTATCTGCAATTTTGTTAAATAATCCAGTGAGCATCCCTCCTGGACTACTGGGGGGCTGTTGTGGAGGGACTTTGTTTTGCTGTTGTAGGTTTTGTCTGTTGCCCACTTGCTGATTAGGTTGGTACCCAGGTGGGCCGCTCTGCTGTTGGTTTTGCGAAGGCTGGCCTGAGTTTGCAGGAGCAGAATCTTGGCCCCCAATTCCAAAAAGACCAGAGAGGAATCCTCCTTGTTGGGGAGGTCCTTGCTGCACTGGTTTTTTGTTAGTCTCTTGAGCACCAGGCTCTGGCTGAAGCTGCGATGGAGTAGGATTAGATTCCACAATCTTGTTAAAAAGTCCTGATAACATGTTACTTGATTGCTGTGTCTGTTGTGTCTGTTGTGTAGATTGTGTAGCCTGAGGTCCTTTTTGTGGCTGGGAAGCAGGTTCTGTGAGTTTCAACAAACCCCCAAGCAATCCACTAGGTTGAGGCATTGTTGTTGTTGCTTTTGGATGCAATTTTTCTGTTGTTTTGTCAGGCTCTTGCTGTTGGTTTGGTTGTTGATCTGAGACTACAGGCTGTCTTAGTTGCTGGTCAGGCTGACCGTTGTCAGAGGGAGGTGCTTCGGTTGAATCTAATTTATTCAATCTTGATGAATTCTCTGCGGACTGAGTAGGAGGAGTGGACCCTTGACTCAATATTTGTTCAGGTCCTTCTGCTTTCACTGTATGGTCAGTTGCATCTGGTTGTGACTCTTGACTGGACTGAGTTGGTTGAGATCCCGTCACTGTGTCTGTAGCTTTTTTCAGGAGCCCAGATAGGAGTCCTCCAGTAGGTGGCGGTGCAACAGCAGGTTGTCCTTGCCTTTGAGTTGGAATTTGACCAGACTGGCCTCCTGGCAATGTTGACACTGCTTGATTTGTAGGAGCAGAAACATTATCAGAAGCAAATTTCAAAAAGCCAGACAATAGTCCTCCTGACTGTTGTGTGGCAGAATTCTGTTGTGTTTGAGGAGAAGATGATGAAAATAGGCCTGAAAATAGCCCACCTTGTTGAGGCTGACTATCGCCTCCCTGGGCTTTCTTGTCAGATGACACATCTTCTGATGATCCTAGTTTCAGCAATCCAGAAATAATTCCTTGAGTCTGTGAGGCTTGTGGTTGAGATGTGGCTTGTTCCACAGGCTTGGACAGACCTTGATCTTTAGATGTTACACCTGTGTCAGGCTGGACATTTGCCTTGCACTGGGGATCTTTTTCAGACAATGATTGCTCTTGAGATAATTGTTCTGTTGTGCAGACAGTGCTCTCTGTGCTTTCAGGGACCATTTGTTCTGGATGTGGCTCAGTTTGACCACTAGGTTTGGTTAGAGTCACAGTGGGAGTCATCTGTGGTTTTGTAGGCTCCTTAGCAGGTTCACTTGGTGCTACCTTAAACAGGTTTGAAAACCAGCCAGTTTCAGTGTTTCCTTTTGGTACACTTTCAAGCAGTGCAACACGACTTGGAGAGGGAGTTCTTGCAGGGCTGGGAGATGGACTTTTAGGTTGGGAATTGGCATCTTCACCAGATGCAAGCTTCAGAATTCCTGAGAGCATGCCTCCTTCTGTTTTTGGTGGGGTTGGTGTGGAAACATTTTCAGTGGAAAAGAATGGAATTTTTAGTTTGCTGCCCAAAAATGATTCATCTGCAGGCTTGGTGTCAGTCTGTGAGGAGTTTTCAGGAGGAGCTGTTGACATTAGAGTAGAGAGAGATTTCTTAAAAGGACTGAAGAATCCAGTTTCCTCTGAACTGCTTTCAGGTTTTGGTTCAGATACTGCAGATGTTCCTCTTTGCTGAACATCTGGTAGCTCACCAGATGACTCTGTCTCTGGAAAAAGCTCCACTGATCCACTTCCTGTTTCTTGCAAAAGCTCAATTGATCCACTTCCTGTATCTGGCAAAAGCTCAACTGATCCACTTCCTGAACCTGGTCTTGTCTCACCTGATGACTGTCTCTCTGTTTCCGAGCCCTCTCTATGAGGACTTGGGGATCTGTTTACAGACCCTTGTTGGGATTCATTGCTTGTAGCAGAAGCGCTTCTTTGCTCAGATGGCTGAGGTGAGGGCTCTCTCGATGGTGGTGCACTTGAAAAAAGTCTCAAAGGACTGAACCTTCCTAACATTGATTCAAACCCAGATGTGGATTGATTAGAAGTGGTTGCACTTTCTTGTGCATCTGTTCCAGCAGGTGTCGGCTCCGGACTAGTGTCAGCTTGTCGACTGGGTTCAGAGGACTGAAATGGCAAAAGAGACTGCAGGGAAAACTTTTTTTCTGTTGAGGGCTCCTGAGAGGCAGGAGGAACTATGGCCACTGGTGGTGAAGTACCACCACTTTTAGGAATAAATGAAAGCAGCTTTGCAATGCCAGATTCAGGCTGGGGTGATGGTTGGGAGGTAGGTGGATCAGTTGCAGTGGCACCAGAGGTCTCTGTGGGTTCAGTACTAGCTTTAGGGATCAAAGAGAGCAGTTTTGAAATACCAGAGTCAGCCTGTGGTGGCTGAGGGGATGGAGTTGTGCCAGAGGCTTCTACCTCAGTGGTAGACTTTGATCCTGTGATTGTACTGAATAATGAACTCATGGCATTCTTTACTCCAGCTATGCCCTGTTCAACAGCACTGTCTTCCTTAACTTCAGGAACTTCAGGTTTGGCCTCATTGCTATTATTGTCGTCAGGTTGCACAACTTCAGCATCGGTTGGCAGTGCTGGTAATTTTCTTCTAATTGGTTTAGGCATTGATTCATAGCTGTTGATTTCCTCCTCTTTTACTGCCAGGTATTCAGACACTGAGTGAACTAAGTTTTGAAGTTCATCCATGGCATCTACATATTCATCACTTGGCTCCTCTACAGGAGACAACATAGGATCTTGTCCATGACTTGTTTTCCCTCTGCTTGAATAGCCCTGCCCTCCAAAAGGTGACACATACTTGCTTGGGTAGTAGTAACTTTCATATTCATAGCTAGCATCCCCCTCAGTGAATGTCAGGTCCTCTAGTTCCTCCTCTGAACCAAAGGAATACTGCATCTCATCTGAACCAACTGAGCCATATTCACCCCTCCACCTGATCCTTGCAGCCTCTTCCCGAGCAGCCTCCTCCTCTCGAAAAGCTGCATAGCTTTCAAGTGTGTCCTCTAAGGCAGTTTTGGCCCACAGTCTGGTCTTGTAAAGAAGACCTTCTCTGTCTGACTGCTGTCGTAGCTCTTTGACAGAGGGAATAATATCAATCTCAGGAGGGGACGTTTCATCTTCAAAGCTGCCGGCTTCCTTATAAACTAACCGTACTTCACTACCAAATCCATGCCTCTGTCTTCGTGGCTTGTCCTCCATTTCCTCAGGGGAGAGTGCATCACATTCTACTGTCTGATAGAACCTGCTACCTTTAGACTCACAAGGGTTGTCACTGATCCGGTAGATGATGCTTTTATCTTCGTCTTCCCACAATTTCTGCTCAGCGTCCAGATAATCATCCAAGACGCCTGAGTCAGGCACTTTATATTTATTCTCCCAATCCTCCACACCCATACCTGAGTCAACAGGAATTATTCTTACTCCACCCTTACTGTTTGATCGTCTGGGTTCAAGAAAAACAAAGTGCCATGCAGGAAGCAGTGGAACATGATGCAAATCAAAAGAAGAAAGAAAGGAAGAGAAAATAAGCGTTAGAAAAACAACAGACATGTGAAGAAAGTGTTCATGCAAGTAAAGAAACAGAACAGCAAATGAAAAAGCAAAGTACACATATGGAAGCAAAAGTATGTTGTTTGATAATGTGCAAACATGCATAATTTCTATTTCTTTGGCAGAAATAAATGCTGTTGCCTATGCACATGAAAAATCTAGGTATATGCAGTTGTTACATGAAAGTAAGTTGCAGCTCTTTGCCCTTTGCACGTCCATATTTTGTAGGGCAAGCCATTCTCTGTTGCAGCTTTATCTCTGATTTTGTTAAAGATTGTTTTATTTTTCCATGGCAACACTTAAAATGTCATTGTTTACTTAATGAAAATATCTATATTTGACAATATGTAAACTGGCACAAGCAACAGATTAAGTGTTAATAACACAACTAAGGCTTTGCCACTTCTGCTTGAAAATGGGGCCTCTTTGATGACAGTGGTCGTATTTGTTAGATAAAAGTATTTCAAAACCTGTATTAGTGCATTTTGCTACTTTTCGTAACGTGATTCCTCAAAGCAAAGAGCGCACATGCATGAGGTCTGTGTATTTACCTGGCCCCCCTCATTTCTCTATAGTCTAGTTCATAGCTTTGTATAGAGTCAGACTCCCTGGACAGGGTTTGATGTTGGACCCTGCGTCCTATGGGGTACTGGTGCACTGATGAATTCGTCTGCGAGGTGTTGTGGAACCGTGGAGGCCTGTTGCCAGTTTCACTGCGGTAGTCACTGTCACGGTCATCCACTGCACTGTCATGGTCATCAAAAGCTGGGAAAAGACGACAAAAACAGTTTAGTATAACAAGATCATTTCCAAAATGAATTAAAAAAAAATTCTCCAAGTGATCCAGTAGATTTTCATTTAATACTTTGCTTTGGTTCATTTATTTGTTTAATGTGACAGTAAAACCCTCAACATCAGTTTCAGACAGTCTGCTAACTGCTCACAATTACTAATGACGTGCCAGTGTAAGAACTCAGAAGAGCAACAACGTAAAGAGTAACTCCGACAATAATGGGCAAGACACAAAATGGATGATTCATGCAAAAGTCACATCTGCACCACTGTCATACAGTCATTATTGTAGAGGCAGGCTGCAGGACACTGCCAGGATGTAAAGAAGAGGAGCCAAACAATGAATAAAAAGCTCCCTCTTGTGGTAGCAGGCATGTAATACAAAAAGCTTGAACACCAAGCTGAAAATGACATCAACAAGAAGACAATGGAATAATAGAAACTCCAAATGCCGCATAAAATATGTCAACAAAATTGACCCCCACACATGTTACCTTGTATTTTTATTGGGAGAAAACATGAATGAGTGAAATTTCAAATACAATGACCAAAACAAAGGATACAAACCAAACATGCAGTGGTTCTTATTAAAAAGGAAAGGCCTATACCATGCAGGGGTGGAGTGAATGACAAGTCACAAGGAAAAAAGCAACCACTATACGTACTCTGCTGGTCACTCCATCCGAAATAACTCCAACTGCCTGGAGGCATGGAGGTAAGTGTTCAAGAAGTCAGGAAGAAAAGCGAACTTATTACTAAAGAATAGAGCCAGTAATTGTAAGTGGTGATGGCCAAATGAGTATGTAACATGTAATGGGACTGAACGTCACAAATCTGTGAAGCTTGATGGACGTGATGGATGGTTAAGTGAAGGAATGTGATGATGTATAATAATAATTGAAAATTAAAAATAAACTTTATTTATAAAGTACCTTTTATATGGCTGCAACTATTTTCACTGTCAAATAATCTGTTGATTATGTTCTCAATGAATCAATCAGTTATTTGGTCTATAATATGTCAGAAAATGGAGGAAAATGTCCATAAGAACAAGATGATGTCCTCAAACACTTTGTTCTGTCCACAACCCAAAGAAATTCAGTTTGCAGATACAGAGGAGTAAAGAAACCAGAAAATGTTCTCAGTTAAGAAGCTAAACTTTTGCCTTTTTTTCTTAAAAAACAAACCGATAAATGGTCAGCCAATTAGCTGGCAATTAAAAATTGACAATTAATTGTGTAGTTGTTGCACTAAAAACCTAAAAAAAAGTTTTTTTCTCAAAGGTAACATCAGTGTTTAACAGCCAGGAAACACAGCTCTGTAGTGTGCAAAGAGCAGTCTCATATATATTTTTTATAATAAGTGACACTTAAGTAAGTTTGAACGTCTAGCCAGAGTCAAAATGCATCTGTGCGTGATCAATGGCTGACGTGATTTTATTTTTTTTCTGGTCATGAAATACATGAACAAATGAGGAGAAAAAAATATGTTTTTTCCACATCACATCAGTGTGGACAGACATTTGTGAACAAAGGAGCCACAAAACACACACAAACGTACATGTGAAAGTGCTGCGGCATGAATGTTACACTTATACTTACAACACTGAGAGGGCACAGACGCCATTCGTCTTCTCTGGACTTCTTCCTGCAGTGGATACTGCCACAAGAGAAAAATGGAAACAAAAAGGAGAGCAGAAAGACAGTGTGTGAAGGGGTCATTGAGGGGCCAGTCAGTCCTATAGACATGAATTATCTATGATGCAATAACTATCATTTTCCTTTAGATGGCAGCAAAGTGCCAACACTAACTGCAGCATCACTGAGCAGTGTGCACATTGTGACATAATATTTGGTAAAAATAATAATTAAATAAGGAGAATTCTTTCAGAAGCAGACAGAATAGCAGTCTCATAAACAGTAGTTGTACAAGACAAAACATTTCTTGCTCCCATGAGACCTTCAAACATTTCTTGTGTAAATCAGTTTTACACTACTGAAAAATAATTTTTCGACTGCATGATCTTCTGCTGCACCTCAGCTCCAGAGAGCGAAACAGATTGAAAATCTTTTTTTACCATAAGTGGCAGAAAGTGATCTAGTATAGTAACCCGTCAGTGCAAATTAACATCTACTTCTGTTTCTACTGTCACATGGCTTTCTGCAGTATGGATGGATGCGAGAAACAGTGAATAATGACAGAGGAAAGATCCTTTTTAAAAGTTTTTACACACAAAAGTAAATGCTACTGTCCTATACTGCTTGTAAAATTTAGTTTCAAGTGACACCAAGGGTTCATATTACCATTTTAAGACTTATTCCACAACTACCTTCTTTCAAGGTAAAGGAAGAGGAAGACTGTCATTGTTGGAATTCCCCACAGCTTTCCCGACATTAGATCCCCTCTAAGACCTAAATGAACTGCGATTCAACACCTCTAATATCTTAGCAATTCATAACTTATTAAGAGGAAATAGACTTTTAAGTAAACTAACCTCGTCATGTATCCGCATGGTGTTAATCCGCTCCAGTTTATTGGTCCAGTACTGAGCCTCGTCTTCTGGAATATCTGGGCAGATAGATTAAAAGGGAGAAAAATTAAAAGATGGACAAGAAAATATTTGGAGGAGACTGCAAGAGACGGGGAAGTTAGGGGAAGTACAGACAAATGGGATGGAGGGGTAGTTCAAGGGATGGATGGTAGGATTGAGGAAGGGGTGACGAACAAAGAAAAGTAAATAATGGAGGAAGACAGAGAGTGCAAAGCCCAGAACGAGAGGCAAAGTGCAAAAAGAAAGGAAAGACCACAGGCACTGTAGCTCCACCCTTGCCTCGGTCGGCTCTCCTCCATGCGCCCTATCCCACCCTGTCTGATCCCATCCATGTTGCTTGATGTGCTCCCATCTTATATTCATGCGTGTTTAATAGCTGATGAGGAGGTTTCCTTTTGGGGGCCCAGAAATAGAATTCACAAACACCTCAGGGGGCCTCACAGGTCCTCCCCAAAGCCACAGGATAAAAGAAGGTGGGGCAGAAAAAGAGAAAAAGGACGAGACTAGGGAAAATGTAAAAGCCTGGTTATGGACTTTGGCATGTTAAAATATTAGTCATGAATGTGTCTGAGGTACAGCGCATACACATTTGACATATCTTATATATTTGCTTTTTATTTGGAATACTTACTAGTTATATATTAATAAACTTAAAACTCAATGTACAAAACACTCTTTTGATGCATAAAGCTGACTTCAGACTGTGTTGTGTTGGTATAACTACCCAAAAACTGAGCATAGGGTTAGCTCAGGCAGGCCATGGTGTCAAGCTCAGCTCACATCCCAGTTATATCAGCAGATCTCAAACAGCCTGATCAGCTGATTGATAGAGGGGAGTCAGCTGATGGATCACATGATTCCTTTCAACACAACCAACTGGCAAATCTCATTCACTGCAAGCCGCTTTGCAACCTGCCTTCACCCCAGCTCCTCCTTTTTTGTCTGACTTATCATTGTCATTTCTGACTGTCACTGATGCTACTCTGTTCTGTTCCCGGGGGTCTTTGCTGCTGTCCTTGCCTTAGGCTTCCATGTAGGCACATGGGAAGGCAGGGAGGTTTGCTCTCTTGGCCTCAGGCTTTACTCGTATGCGGGTGGAAGGGCAGAGAGATGTGCTCTCTCTGCCTTAAGCTTTCCACATTGGTGCTGGGAGGGTGGAGAGGGTTGCTCTCACCACCCTAGCTTTCCATGTAGGCTCGTGGAAGGGCAGAGAGGTCCCAGAACGTAGCCATTCTGCCAAATACCAAATACCAATTAGAAAGTATTTATTGAATAAAGTGGTCCTGACTGAAATGCATTAAATGTATAATGTTATTATGCTCAAGCACAGGAGAACATGTAATACCCTATAAGAATATAGATGATGTGACCTAATAACTAAGCAAAGACAGGGATTCTAAAATGTTATTGTTGGCCATAAAGCTTAAAGAACTGACTTATATTCTTCACACAAACCGAGACACTGCCAGAAACCATTGATGTATACATAACAGACTTCAAATACAGCCAAAGATAGACATCTGGACGGCTGTATGATTCCTTGGTATGTGACAGAATAGTATGTGGCATAACTAAAGACCAAGTGAGAAGCAGACTGTTTAGAAAAGCAAATATGACATCTGAAAAAGTGATCGATATCTGCCGTCCAAGTGAGATTACATCCAGCCAAGTCAAAGCACTGACAGAAGAAGTGTGAGGGGAACAGAATGAGAGCAGCAAAGCCAAAAGACAACAAAGTCAAAGCAAACCCAGTCAGTCTTTAACAAAACGGGACGAGTTGCAGAAGATGTGGCTTCAAACACAGACCATAACTTGTCCTGCAGTTGGCCTGACTTGTGCATCAATTGAAATCACTTTGCAAAGATGTGTACATCACAGGGTCAGCATCAGTATGGAAAGAAAGTGCGTGCAACTGAGCAGAGAGAGGGAGTAAAAAAGGCATGTTCATTGTGACAGTCTACATTGGATCATAAAAAATATATCAGGGTGAAGGAGTCTGCAGACATAGAAGAAATGGGCGCATGGAAGGGTATGAGAATAAATAAGAAAATGGTGTCTTTTAAATTTGACACAGCTGTGCACCTTTTCCATTTGGGATTTTATCAGCACTGAACATGTTAAAAAATAGCCATCTTACAAGCAGGAACTGCAGACGTTTAGCCTCTAGTTTGACATTTTGGCTGTTGCCACTGCATTTTTTTTAAGCCAGAAGTGACCATATTTGGATGAGAGGGTGAAGCTGCGGAGGAGTGACGGGTGGGTCTGACTGGGAGCCTGTGGTGACACCCTGCCAACTGCCTGTCACTCAATGCAGCCCCACCCTTAAATATGCATAACTTTAAGCCTTAATAAAGCTTAAACCAAACAAGACCAAAACCATTTTGTACCAGGCTGTAAACATGTTAATTTCTGCTGTAAGGTTGGGCATTTTAACAAGAGGCCATTAACGCTTCTGCAGTTTTTGGCACTTTCATGTTGGTTCATACCTAACCTTTATGACAATAGCGCCCCATCCAGCCAGGCAAGGATTCATACTGCAGACTCTTTCAGTCAAGCATTCCCTATAGAGCAGAGGATCTGCTTCACAAAGAATTGGGGGTGAACTGGATTACACCTCAGCTTCCCATTTCACAGTAAAAAGTGCACAAGTTCAGGAGAGCAACAGCAGAGGACCTTGAAAGCAGCTACTGACAGACATAATACTGAATGGATGGATGAATGAAAGAAGTGCATTACCGAATGCAATTCAGCCATGTTGGACATTTGGGGATGAAAGTACAGACACATCTAGGGTGATGCTTAAAGCAGCATTGGGGGTTGTTTAGTATACAGACAGAGCCAGAGTCATTCTTTATTGGCCTATCATGTCTACAAACATTGAGCAGATAGTATCTCAGTGTGCCATCGTGACGAGAACAGCCATCCTTGAGTCTTCAATTTCACTACCAATACTACAAAGGCCACGTGAAGAACAGATCTTTCTCACAAAGCATCTGAGGAAAGTGTGAGTACTTTTAAAAGTTGCGTCAGTTGAGGGCCACCACCAGTTGCAGCGTCATTGCAAGAAAAGCGATGAAATGAAATCAATGTTTGCAGGGCATCACACTGATGTTGTAATCACAGATAATGGTCCTTGGTATGCTAGTGCTGAGATGAAAGATTTCACAGAAAGCTGTGAATTCAGGCACATCACGTCAAGCAAGTAGAACTGTATAGACCACTTAAAACAACTGCTAAAAAAGGTCAGAAAGCAATATTCATAACTGTTAGAGTATCGCAGTATACCACTGGACACCACCAACATAACTGCTGATGTGACATCCACTGAAAGGAAAACTGCCTCTAACCTCACTGCTTACTCCAGAGGGAACAGTCCAGGTACGCAGCACAGTTGAGAGAAAAGCAGGGGAAACAAACACTTCACTATGAGACAACTATCTGATCAGCAAGCTGAAGAAAATGTGAGGAAGCAAAGAGGACAGATATGGAAGCCAGCTGTGGTCCTGCACAAACATGAGCACCCACAATCTTTTGGGGTTTGCACACCAGATGGGAGACTGAACAGGAGAAACAGATGAGAAAACATCCATCTACAAACGTGCAGGACATCGAAATGAACATTGACTCAGGGATGAATGAGTGCAAGAAAAGTGACAACAAACACAAGTCACCTGAACACACAGTCATCACCCACCAAAAGGACACACTCTGAAACACACTCATCATACCAGGTTTTCACAACAGTGGGCGTCAGACAACAAAGACAACTGAGCCTCAGTAATGTAAATATTGATACTGCAACATAAAAAAATGATTAATGTCTTTTGTTCTATTTGTCTTTGTCTTCAGTTTTGTAGATAAAATGCTGTAAGTACGTTTTAGAGCTACAGTTCCAATAGTGCTTTGGTGGATGTAAACAGGAAGTATAATGGTGTCAGCTCGCAGTCACCTACAGATAAGCTCGTATTTTTTAACCTATATTGTATTTGCTCACATTTTGGCGAATTGGCACCATTAAAGGTATGCTGAATTAGCTTTAGCAGTTCTTGTTTGCAGTGTAACCGTGGATGTACAGACAACAATCACTGAATTACTTTGACACTGAAGAAAACGTCAAAGGTTCTTGAGTTATAAAGAGCGTCTGTCTTCTATGATTTCTGAGCGAATTTTTGAACATTCATTATCCTCTGGAAGTGTGAGTCAAACTGAATACAAATATGTGTCATCATGTAGGGCTTCCACCTAATAGTCAACCACAGAGGTCATTAGTTGGCAAGATTTCATTGGTTGCTTAGTCGTAGAAAAAAAACAAAAACGTGAAACTCTGTAAGGAGCTGTGCCTTGTCAAAATAAATCAAAACCTATATGACTGCCCCATGTGAGAATTTAATTTGAAAGGACACACACAGGAAGTGGCCACGCTCAGCAGTCAGACAGGAGTCAGGTTACAAACCAATCACAGCCGACAGATATCTTTCCCTTCTGTAAATATTCAGTCTGATAAATACGGAAAAGTTGATCATGTTAGTGCAGGGCTACCCAGAGCTTTACATCTGTCCAAAAGACAATAGGCCTACACACTTATAAACAGCGTCTGGAAGAAGATCAGCTCTGCTTTCAGGATTTCAGGTAAATAGGCTGAAGCTCAGACGCAACCAGCCGCCACGCTCTTGAAAGGTGGCAGGAAAAAGGCACAAGAGTATCTCCCAGCACCCGACCTAGCGTTTTCCAGGCGGTTAAAGACACAGCATGTGTACGGTCCTTAATTTCCAGGGCTGGTACCTGCTCAAACCATTGTGTTGCCCCGCCCAAAATATTTAATTAAAATAATATCGTAAACATGCGGGTGACTAGTCGACTAATGGACCTAAATGACGACTACTGCCAGTCAAGGAAAATTCTTGGCCAGGGGCAGCCCTAGTAACATGTCATGTGTACTCAGATTTGAATGAATTATTACTGTGAAAAGTACAAATTTTGACGCCAACTGTGCAATCAAGTGCTAAGAGCTTGAATGTGCCTTAATTTACTCCATGAGCTGTGCGTCATGACCACTGCTGCAGCTCCAACTGTTGACCATGCTGATAAGTGGGCCAAATCAGTGGGACAAACTACAAGAACTAACTTTTGGTTCTTTTTAAAACATCAGCATGCATCTGCCTCTTTCGCCCCGCACAGTATATTTGCCCTCAGGTCTCACCCTCTACTCTCCCTCACAGTGTAAAACCCTGGATTATACCATAAACAGGTATTTGTGAATGTGTGTTTCAGCGTGACTCATTGTGCCAACTGATGACCAAAAAGATGCATCTCACTATTGATTTGTTTCTATGTTCTAAACTGGATGTCAATTACTTTAAAGTTTTTTAAAAGGATTTGTCAAAGTTTGCTAAAACAGGCAAACTACTATCTTATCTCCATCTTCAGGCCCTGGCTTTTGTGTCAAGACGAGCAAACAGCAGCATGAACCAGAGCCATCTTGACGTCAGGTGAGTGCTGATAAATAGAGCACCAGGCAGTACAAGGGGAAACGGCAGAGGCAGCTCAGGAGCAGACACTACAGACAGCTCCCTGAGATTAACAGTCTGCTGTGGAAACAAAACAGTCTCGAGATATGTTGCTATTTAGGTAGTTGCTTTCCAGAAATAGAGAGTTGAGGAATATTCAGGGTAGTATTCAGGGCAACCAAAATGTTACCAAAAACAAACTCTTAATAACCCTGCCTCCACATAAGAGTGCTCTCTGTGGTGGAAACACTAAACCAATCCAGGGTCCAGGTACATGGCCGTAGGGGTTACTTCTAGTTCTAAAGGTACTATACTGAATGATTTTGGTGAAGCATTTTCATCAACGTGCCATACTATCAGGTTTTTTCAGCTGTATCAGCTCCTGGATCTTTAGCTTTGTGTTTGAATATGTGTTTGTGAACACAAGCATACCAAAGGGCAGCTCAAAGCGGGTGTCCAGCAGCACTTGGTGTGGAGTCGGGTTGGTGGTACCACAGATCTCATCCTCCCTCATCAGCACCTCAGAGTCAAGAGACGTCCACTGTCCTGGTCCCTCCTGAAAAAAGAGACAGAGACAAGAGAGGAACAGAGAGAAAGGAAGACAGAAACATTTAGAGATTGAGGATTAAAGCGTCAACATGGTAATTGAGGGCGCAGTTGGGCTCAGGAGGAACGCTATTCAATAAATTGGAGCGCAGATGAAAAGATGAAGAAGCGAGGAACAACACTGGCAGAGCAGGGGTGAGGGTTTACTGTGCGTCAGACTGAGGGGAGAAGTCAAACATTGGCGGCTGCATTATTAATGACTACACAAACGCCGCTCCCTCACTTTAAAACTCTCCAGAAAAAGTAATGAGGTCTACAGACGAGACGAGCCTGCCCGCAGTGCGCTGAAATGAGTTGGCAACCTGTGAGAGTGCTTTTTAAGACTCTGCTGACAGGTAAAGACAGTGCTTTAAAAAATAACATAAGCACTACTAAGTGGAACGCGAGTGTGTGTGTGTCTATTTTGAGGAGTTGCTGTGAGTTTAAACAGCCTGAGCAGCACATGTTGTATATATACAGTACAGGCCAAAAGTTTGGACACACCTTCTCATTCAATGCGTTTTTCATGACTATTTACATTGTAGATTCTCACTGAAGGCATCAAAACTATGAATGAACACATGTGGAGTTATGTACTTAACAAAAAAAGGTGAAATAACTGAAAACATGTTTTATATTCTAGTTTCTTCAAAATAGCCACCCTTTGCTCTGATTACTGCTTTGCACACTCTTGGCATTCTCTCCATGAGCTTCAAGAGGTAGTCACCTGAAATGGTTTTCCAACAGTCTTGAAGGCGTTCCCAGAGGTGTTTAGCACTTGTTGGCCCCTTTGCCTTCACTCTGCGGTCCAGTTCACCCCAAACCATCTCGATTGGGTTCAGGTCCGGTGACTGTGGAGGCCAGGTCATCTGCCGCAGCACTCCATCACTCTCCTTCTTGGTCAAATAGCCCTTACACAGCCTGGAGGTGTGTTTGGGGTCATTGTCCTGTTGAAAAATAAATGATCGTCCAACTAAACGCAAACCGGATGGGATGGCATGTCGCTGCAGGATGCTGTGGTAGCCATGCTGGTTCAGTGTGCCTTCAATTTTGAATAAATCCCCAACAGTGTCACCAGCAAAACACCCCCACACCATCACACCTCCTCCTCCATGCTTCACAGTGGGAACCAGGCATGTGGAATCCATCCGTTCACCTTTTCTGCGTCTCACAAAGACACGGCGGTCGGAACCAAAGATCTCAAATTTGGACTCATCAGACCAAAGCACAGATTTCCACTGGTCTAATGTCCATTCCTTGTGTTTCTTGGCCCAAACAAATCTCTTCTGCTTGTTGCCTCTCCTTAGCAGTGGTTTCCTAGCAGCTATTTGACCATGAAGGCCTGATTCGCACAGTCTCATCTTAACAGTTGTTCTAGAGATGGGTCTGCTGCTAGAACTCTGTGTGGCATTCATCTGGTCTCTGATCTAAGCTGCTGTTAACTTGCCATTTCTGAGGCTGGTGACTCGGATGAACTTATCCTCAGAAGCAGAGGTGACTCTTGGTCTTCCTTTCCTGGGTCGGTCCTCATGTGTGCCAGTTTCGTTGTAGCGCTTGATGGTTTTTGCGACTCCACTTGGGGACACATTTAAAGTTTTTGCAATTTTCCGGACTGACTGACCTTCATTTCTTAAAGTAATGATGGCCACTCGTTTTTCTTTAGTTAGCTGATTGGTTCTTGCCATAATATGAATTTTAACAGTTGTCCAATAGGGCTGTCGGCTGTGTATTAACCTGACTTCTGCACAACACAACTGATGGTCCCAACCCCATTGATAAAGCAAGAAATTCCACTAATTAACCCTGATAAGGCACACCTGTGAAGTGGAAACCATTTCAGGTGACTACCTCTTGAAGCTCATGGAGAGAATGCCAAGAGTGTGCAAAGCAGTAATCAGAGCAAAGGGTGGCTATTTTGAAGAAACTAGAATATAAAACATGTTTTCAGATATTTCACCTTTTTTTGTTAAGTACATAACTCCACATGTGTTCATTCATAGTTTTGATGCCTTCAGTGAGAATCTACAATGTAAATAGTCATGAAAATAAAGAAAACGCATTGAATGAGAAGGTGTGTCCAAACTTTTGGCCTGTACTTTATATTCATAGTGGGATCATGCTGGAATATTCATATCATTTTGTATCATTTTGGGGTGGTTTGCAGCCGAGTGTTAAACCTGAGGTCATGGCTCGCTGCCAGAAAACGCTGGATTGACCCCTCTGGGTTGGGAGAGAGTTACTGCCTCAAGCAAAGGAGCTCAACAATCTCAGGGTCTTTTTCACGAGTGAAGGTAAAATGGAGCGGGAGATGAATCAGCGGTTTGGTGCAGCGTCTGCAGTGATATAAGGGCTGCACTGGACAGTCATGTTGAGGAGGGAGCTGAGCTGGAAGGCGAAGCTTTCCATTTACTGGTCCATCTACGTCCCAACCCTCATCTATGTTCATGAGCTCTGGGTAGTAACCGAAAGAATGAGATCGCAGATACAAGTGGCCGAAATGAGTTTCCTCCGTAGGGTGTCTGGGCTCAGCCTTAGAGATAGGGTAAGAAGCTTGGAGTTGAGCTGCTACTCCTTCACGTCGAAGGGGGTCAGTTGAGGTGGTTTGGGTATCTGATCAGGATCCTCCTGGGCGCCTCCTGTTAAAATTGTTAAGGGCATGTCCAACTGGTAGGAGGCCCTGGGGCAGACCCAGAACACGCTGCAGGGATTACATATCTCATCTGGCCTCGAACACCTTGGGGTCCCCCAGGAGGAGCTGGAAAGCTTTGCTGGGGAGAGGGACGTCTGGAGTGCTTTGCTTGGCCTGCTGCCCCCGCGACCCGGCCCCCAAATAAGCGGATGAAAATTGATAGATGGATTTTGTAAATGTCTTCAATTTAGCAAGCTGTAGAAAATCCATTTTTAAATGGCTGTTATTTTTACCTGTTATTTCAAACGAGCACACAGTCATTGTGCTTTTTCACTTAAAAGTATTGTTATTTTGTTGGAAATCATTTACTGTGTCTGTGACTCAGCAGGAACAGCTGCTAGGCTTGATGGGCTTGGAGCAAGGACTGCATGTAACTGTAGAAGAAAACACTGCATGTACAATAAAACCATTTCCAGAGTGACTTTTGTCTGCACTTTTTCCCCCATGGGGTGAACCAATATACTGATCACGTTTTGCTGTATGAAACTTTTTGTTACGACCATCCACTTGATTTAACTTCCTCAAACTGACTGTTGAAGCCTTTTACACTTCAAATAAACTTTCCCAATTTCTTCCACTGGAAACGCCATCAGAAGGTATATTTCAACAGCCGGCAAAATCTGGCAAAGTGTTATTTGGGCCTGTGAGTATTGTTCTAAATCAGATTTTAAAACAGTGAACCTATCTTTTATGATATGAAAGACTGTGAGATGCGGTTCAAAGTTCTGAATGAACTGAGAAGAGATCTTGTTTTCTAACAATTTGACATGTGAGTAAGGATGACATGACGGGGGTGTGTTTGTACTGAAAGCGTGTTACCTCGTCAGACTGTCGAATGCTGTCCAGTGGTATCAGTGCTGTGCCGATCATAGTGTCCCAGATCAAACCTTTATTCCACAGCTCCACCACCAGACCCGACTCCAGATGATTGATCTCACTGTAGACACAAACAAACACACATTACATTACACACAGTGTAAACGTTCAAACATGGCATTAAAACTACAGGGCCTGAGAATATTTTCCATTAATAAAGTTAGTGTTTCTCAAGGCTGAAGACTTCTCTGTTTGCCGCTGCCCTTTATTAAAGCAAATTATTGTTTTCTTACACTGCACTATAACTTTTATTTTTCAGAGTTCCTACACATTTTCCTGGACAAAATTTCAAAACTTTTCCATGACTTTCCAAGAACCCATAATAACTTTTTTTCTTGCCCCACACATACATGAAAGAAGAGACAGAATGTGGGGAGAAACTGGAGAAATGTACATCATGGTAAAGGAAACATCACACATTGAGACACAGTGGACCTACATAACGTCGACAGCAACTGAAAAAAAATAAAAAATTGCCAATATGTTACATTATAGGGAGGGCTATCCACAGAAGATTACTGCGAAAATGTCATTAAACACAACAATATTCCAGGACTCAAAACTATAAAATCATTTTTACTACTTTAGTTAGTTTTCCAGGCTCTGAAACTGTTATTGTGAAATTCCATGACTTTGCCAGGTTTTCCATTATCGTGGAAACCCTGATTCTGAGTCTAAGGGTGCTTTCAGACCTAGAGTCGTCTCCTTTGGTCTGAATCAGAGACTAATTTTGTCACAAAGTTGTATAATTGCCTAGAGTTGGTTCGTGTTCTCACGGCAGCATTTACAAGTGGACCAGATCAAATGCCTTGTGTGAGAAAGCTGCTCTTGATTGGTCAGAATTTCCATGTGGGAAAAATCCAGGAAGTGAAGCAAATGTTGAAGAAGAGTACACTTGCAAGATAAATGTGACACTTTCTAATGTCACAATGGAGGGACAACTACGCAGGTTGATTTTAGCGCTGCTCATCGTGGACTATATTGCTGTCATTGTTCATTTTAGTCAAACCATACAGTTTGAAAACGAGGCGCGGCTCCAACTAGAAAACAATGTTTTGATGCATTAGATGTGCTGAATGTGCATATTAAGGCAGTACAGGAGGAGGTGCACATTAATAATCCTCCAGGACTGTAACATGCTCATGTTTAACCCAAACAATGTGTCATGTGACTGCAGTTGGTTCACATCCAGGTCGGAGAACACCTTCTCACCACAAACCAACCGCACCAGAGTTCCTTTGTAACCGGACTGAGACCACCTCTTCAAGAAGGTCTCAGTCCGGTTGTTTTGGTGGCACCTGAGTGTGATTGCTGTGTTCACACCTGCCCAAACAAACTGCACTTAGCAGGCAAACAAACTTGAGTTTGATTAAACCAAACCAAACAGGGCAGGTGTGAAAGCACCCTTGTTCCATTTTTATCATCTACTCTCTTGTTCTTTAATGCCTGTTTTCAATTGTATTTAAATGTCCTTTTATAATGTGTTTCTTTTGCATTTTATCTCAGTGTTTTTGATTTTCTGTGTAGGGCACTTTGAATTGCCTTGTTGCTGAAATGTGCTGTATAAGTAAACTTGCCTTCTATATACTGTAAACAAACCTAATCTGTAAAGCACACCCCATCCCTGTCAACTGAGGGAATTTTCCCAGCAAACACTGACTTGACACTTAAACAGCAGAGGAGAATACTGACTAAAATACATTTATCAAAATGTGAATGTTGACAGCAAACCAAAAATGCTCAATGTCCAAGTGGGTTACTCGTACAGTATGCTGTATTTTACTGGTGCCAACAGCTGTACAATATAATCTTCTCTAAATGAATGTGTTCCAAGTAACCACTGGTAACCATTTCCAATCATTAAATGACAGACCTCCACAGGCAGCAGGTACAAGAACAGAGGCAGAAACACAGAGATAGTGATGAAAAACGTATTAGATGGTGCTGGAAGACGAGCAAAGGCAGCATCTATTTCTTTAACATCGGTCATGGGTAATAACGACAATGAGCTGCACTTTTTTTCTGAGAGTTTGTGCTGTTGTGCCACTCTGTTGGGGATGATGCGAGAATACTTTTAATTACTTCAATGTAGAAACAGAGCAGGAGGTGCTGTCTGTCTCGCTCTGAATTTCTGAAGCTGTCATATAAAGAAAAGCTGTCATACAAAGGAAAGTGTTTCAAAGGCTTTTTGATTATGTGGTCTTTGTTGATATTTCATTTCAGTATAAATGTGAGTGCCAGGAAATTTGAAAGAAGTAGTTGGAAAGTAGTTACTGGATTTTGTGTGTTGGGGTGAGGTTTGCATTTGGGCTGAACGATGTCAGGAAAATGTGACATGCGATGTGACTCACTGAACATAGACCCCAGACTGCTGAAAATCCTGCAATATAATTTTACATAAACCAACAAGTTCACAAATTTAGCTGATAAAAACATGGATTGTGTCTAAATGGTAAACCCACATTTGCAAAAACCCCCATGAGATTTAATGTTCCATGTTTCCAGTGAAATGAAAACTAAGTGTTTTTTTTGCCTTAACCAACCAGACCTTAACCACAGTGTTGTCACACCAGGAAACAGTAAGACGAGAATATCTTAAGTAGCACACTAGAGTTTTGCAAATCTGAGTTAACATGTAGCTGCAGCCAAAAACTTCTCTTGTATTTCTTCCTTTGACCTTTCCTGAACATGTAATGGTGACATCTCAGTGGCTACACCTGAATCTTAAAGATCTGTGAATGAATAAACTTGTGTCTGCATTGCTGCTTCATCCCAACGTCTTCTACCTCCTCCATCATCCCATCCAGCAATCACAAAAGGGTTTGTCTGTGACGGTGCAAAGCAATCTAAGGCCTGTACAGTAAAATCAGACACCAGCATGGGAGGGGCACAAGACTGGAGGCTACCGGCAGATGTGAACCAGCGTCGATGCTTCCCATCTGAGATTACCTCTACTAACCTCAGACCAGACCTCGTGCTTTGGTACTCCTCACTGCGCCTTGTCTACATCATTGAGCTGATCCCTGGGAGGATGCTGTGGAGGAGGCCTACGAGCGCAATAGTCTTGAGTACGTCAAGATGGCAGAAGACACTGAGCAACGCAACTAGAAAGAAAAGGTTTGCCCAGTTGAAGTGGGCTGCAGAGGCTTCATAGGCAAGTCAACTACCTGGCTGCTTAAAGAAATGGGAATTCGAGGCCAAGCCCAGCGTCAGGCCATCAATGCCCTCTCCGGCACAGCCCAACAGGCAAGCCATTAGCTATGGATTAAGAGAAAGAGGGGCCATGAAATACCACTAACAACAGCAGGACACAAGGGAGTAAAAGCAGAGGGGGGCGCCAGGTGTTGCTGATGAGCCCTCTGGAGGTGTCGTGGGCCTATCATCGAAACAAGGGTACCCACCTGATGACCCCAATGAAGCGTTTGCCCAGCATGGCTCCAATTCTCAATGACTCTCTCTCACAATCGACCAGTTAAACCCCACCTTGATTAAAGTTAGGTAAATTTTCCTCCTGCTAGTTTCTCCTCTGTTTCCTCATCAAAATGAGGGAGTAGGGGGAGGTAGAGCGTACGGCCTGGTCCAGCGGGGGAGAATTCAGTCTGCACAGATGTCTCTCGTCGGCTCTGCCTTCCCTATGCTCTGTCTTACTTTTCTATCTACCTTAACTCTTTCTCTCTATCCATCTGACTGTTTGGCTCCCACTCTGATCCCCACATGGCACTATTACTGCCACTCATAGTCTGAAGTATGTGCATCAGGGAACAGGGATAGGGAACATCTATGCCTAAACTGAACTGGCCCTATCATTTGCCAACTTGTGAATGAAAGACACAACAGAAACATCACTTCATCGTCACCGTCAAGGCCTATAAATGATCTCAATAATTAATCATTATGTTGCAGCTGATATGACAGTACTTAACAAATATAAAACTACATTTAGTCCATATTTTACCTGTGTTTAAATACACACACTGCATTGTTTGAGTCTGACGCAATACAGTGCCTCTCTCTTCCATGAGGTCAATAAGTGGGGCGGTCTCATCCTTAAGTAGTGAGGGTGAGATATGACAGCCGTCATTTTCTGACAGATCTGTCTTAAAGAGAAGACAGCAGCCAAACTGTCTCTCCTCCTCATCTGCATATTTATATTCACACTGCCATTCATATTCATAGTGCTTCAGTTTGGCTGTCAGTCATCTCTGATGACACTTCACAGCTGGGATGATGGAGAGAAGAGGGTAGGTGGGAGAATCTGGGTGCTATGTGTGTGTGTGTGTGTGTGTGTGTGTGTGTGTGTGTGATCGTGTAGCTACATGTCACACACTGAGGAAGTGTGCCAGCTGGGGAACGAGTCGAGTCGAAATTCTGATGCTCCTACATGTTAGCATGATTACCATCGACCGTCTCCATTCATGTGTTTACTTGTTTACATGCTCGGGTGACTGCGAAGACATTTTACAGATTTGGTAATAATAGTTAACTCTGTAAAAGAGATGATATTGATTTCTTGAATGGAGAAAAGCTAATTTAAAGCAGAGGGACACGTCCAGGTAGCTGAAGCATTCTGGCTGTAATCAGTACTTCACCTGGCAACAGTGTGGCTGAGGCACCAACATGTGTGGTCACCTGCAGCCAGAATTCTCTGTGTCTTGGACCCAAACAGTCGGAACAAATCAGAAATTAGCTCCATTCCATATTTGCTTTTACACACTGGATGTGTTCAATAATGAATGATGACTCTATACATGTTAACACAGTGGCTTATTTGTTCCAGTGAGAGCTGCTCGCCCAGCCTGAATGCCAGAAACACAAACTCCCATGATTGACATGAGAATTAGAAATTAAGAAATATCTGATATGATGGTTGGTGACATTTTAACCACAAGTTAGATGTCATGATTTAAATGAAAAGAGTTCAGACAGTTACACATGAGAAAGTCTCCCACAGCCAGACCTATCTCACACTGTGCCAGCGCTGGAGAAAGGTCAATCTTAATTCAGCACAAAGGGAGAAGAAAAAAAACACTCTGGGTTGTTTGTGTGTCTTTAAACCAACAA